AATAAAATTTTTTATCAACCTCGTCCAAGTTCAAGCAAAGAAAACAACAAAGTGAGGTTGATTTGTAGAAGGGGAATAGTGGAGATAGTGGAGCTTATTAACTAAACTTCGGGAATTAAACAAGCCAGAAAGATGCTCCGATCTACCACGCAAGCTCACATGTTCCCCGAATTCCCTCTTGATAGTTCTGAAACATTTTTGAGCTGGCCACGGTAAACGACCCATTCACGGACTCCTTGCTCCTTATTTCTTTCTCTAGCAAGCTGTCTTACCTCAAAATCATTTTCCCCTTCTTCAGCTGTCATACTTTTGCAGACAAATACATTTTTGAACTCAGAGTTCTTTAGAAGACGTGCATTCTTCGATGCTCGTTGCCAATGAAAACGAGAGGGGAGCACAACTTTGGCCAAAAGAGGGCGGCCAGACACTGATTTACCAATCCTGTAGATTTCAGTGACTCAACACTCCACTTGGAGTACATCGAGTACCTTCACGACCTTACCTTCCAAATCAGCTTAACGTTCAGAAGGTAGAAGTTCATCTTCAGCTTCACTGAGACCAGTAAAGACGAGAATACGCTTCCTCTTCTCTGACTCGACGAAGTCAGAGTGTTCTTTAGGCATTTTATCAGAGAGGGCACAGAGCATTTCATTAGTTACTGGGTCAGTGTTGCGCGCCGTGATAGCATTCATCAATTCAGCTACCGTCTTTTGAGTAAAGTCAGGAGTGTTACTAACCTGCACTAAAACAGCATCCAGCGATTGCGGAGACTTAATGGAGTGTGGTCCACGAGCAACGCTGTTTACTTTAATACGTGTGGTCTTAGGCATTATTCCAAAGTCAACTTACCTCAAGACAGCACACGAAATACCAACCACCCACCGTGGCCCTACTCAAATGAATCCTTTGAAGTTTGAATGAACGAATGAATGAACTTTGAATAAATAGTCGGCTATTTTTCCAAGCATTGCAGTGCTAACAAGTTTTCGTTATGTTCTTCCTTTTTTCCGCCCACCAAAGTTCATCCAGTTAGGTGGTCACCCTCCGAGTCCAGACGTCATTGTATTCATTAATTATTGGAATATTCCTAAAGAAGTCTAGATTCCGAAAGGTGATCGATTATATTAGACAACCCTCCATGTGTGTTTACCACAACTTTTCTCTTCGACTCTTCCGACAGCTCCAACTGCAAGTAGGCTTCTGATAGGTCAATCTGTGAAAATATCGTTCCTTCATTTAACATGTCTTTGGGCACAGGTAGGGTGCAATCGAAGGACTGTAATGCACCGCTAAGGCCTGTTGAGAAATCCGCACATACTCTAAGCTTCCTATTTGCTTCTTGTGGCAAACAATGGGTGCGGCCCATTTACTGGTGCGATGACTCCCATTTGTTGCAGTCTACTCAGCTCAGCATTCACTGCTTCCAAAGCTGCGTAAGGAACTGGTCGACTGCGGCAAAATACGGGGTGCGCATTTGATATTAGTAATAGGGTGACTTCCCCCTTAGTGCAACGTCCCAGGCCTTCCTCAAAGAGTTCCGGATATCTTTTCTTCAGTGCTTCCTCTGCGTCTGATTTTGTGCAAGCTTCATATCCGATATGTGCACCATCATGTGCATGTGATACCCCATTTCGCCATTTCCACGATTCTATACATGGTCCATAGCTCAACTATACGGCTTCACATAAGCGTAGCCTTCTGTTTGATGCCCTTCACTTCAATCTCGTATCTCTGTTTGCCGTGGACCTTCATCTAATCTCCACTAGCATTCTTCACGACGACATTAGTCTACTTCAATGTTCGAGATCTCACTTTCTTCCACGACTTCCCATTCAGCAGTGTGATGTCAGATCTTGTGTCAAGTAGGGGCTCAACGACGCAGGTGTTCACGACTGCGTTGACGTACATGCGAAGGGGACTCGCTTCAAGTGCTGTTTTAGCAGTTATAACAGTTTGCACTTCTTTTCTGAGAGCTCTTGTTCCAGCCGCTTTTTCCTTTGCTGTTTTTCTTTATCGGGTCTTCATTGAGCTCGGATTTCTTCCGTCGCAGTATACTACAAAACTTCTCTTTGTGACCAGCTTTTCTGCACTTTTTGCAGAACCATTTTCGACTTACAATGACGAGCACAGTGGTTATTTCCGCAATTCCAGCATCCGATTTCCTTTCGTTTCTGTACAGATGTAGCTTCTACCAACTTAATACTTCGGTCTCTATTGAGGCTCAAAAAACTTTCGCACTCTTTGTGCAGCTCATTGTTTCGCCTGCTTTGTGTTCCCTGTCCAAAACTGTGATCAACCTTTGCCTAATCACAACTTCTTGTTGCGATTTTAATCCAAAAATCAGAGTAAACATTTGACTACCTCGGCATCGAGGTCGTGAATCTTTGCTTTTCCGCAGACCTCGTTCACTCGACCGGTATACGTGAGGAAGCCTTCAGCATCATTTTTGTTCAATTTGTGGCACTGATATCGTGTAGTAAACATTAATGTCTTGTGTCTTGCAAACAGTTGTCTCAGTATTTCCACAGTTTCTTTGAATCCAATTTGAGATAAATCTCCAGCAGCACATGCCGTTGATACTTTTCGAAAAAATGGTGTTCAGTTTTTCACACAGTAGTCTGACTTCAGCACTATCTGTGATTTGTTTTGCGTCCTCGAAAAAAACCTCTTCTTATAAACCGTTTGGAAAACAAAAGCGAAAACCATTTGGAGAAGCACATCAGCTTTGGGGTCGAATTCTAACTTTTCTATTCTAATGCACAGTGCTGCCATCAGGTTCGGAAGGGGATGCTCTAATGAATGGCCATCACCTTGCCCTCTTTCTGGATTACGGTCTATGAGCTTTGCGATACATATGTTCGTAACGATCTGTGATGTGATGCTTCTTTGCTCATCGATCAACTGCTTAGACATCATTAAGACTATGTTTGCATAAATTCACTTAGCGGTTTTCCTCGAGTTTGGATCCCATGAAAAACAAAGGCAACTAGGAACAGAGCAGGCAAAAGAATGTTCTTCTGAGTATGTCGGTCTTGTACAACTTTTGACTTCTCACTTGTCAAGGACAAAGTGAAAACGTTAAAAGGTAAGAATCTTATCCTACTCAAGTTTCTTCTGACTTTCGCGTAAAATAGATATATTGTATACATACGGAATGTAGTCTTCGCCGGATATATATCTATAGCAGAATACAAAACTCTTCCGTTCTTCTTCGGTGGAGTGCAGGTGGGCAGGATCAGGTGGAGTCGTAGTTCTTGGTCGCCACTGTGGTGTCCTTTGTCTGGCACAGCCGGAGTAGTTGGAGCTTCATTGGATACTGAGGCCACGTCGATACGAAAGGGAATTTAACCCTACCGACCGATGCTTATATAGTCGGTAGTAAAACAGTAAGTGAGGATCACTTGAAACAAGTGGTTTATCATTCACAACAATTTCCTCGAAAGGTCTTTCGCTGGGTCACTCGTGTCTTCAGCACTCTCCTTTCTCCGCTATGTTCTGCTAGCCGCAAAGTGTTGATATGCATTGTCCCCATCATAGCGTATAACAGATAGGTCGCCATTGGATGCTTTTCTAGCATCGCATATGGAGGTTCCTAGATAAGAACTAGCCTGAGGCAGATCTTTTTGGAACGATTTAGTCAGGATGACCTTCCGGACCTCCTCCTGAGCCTTGTTCCCGGCAAGCAAGGGTTCCCCTCGCGAATCTCTGAAAGGCCTTCGACCGCAGTTAGTGTAGGGACCCATGAAGACATCCTGAAAATAGCTATTGAGGCCAGAAAATTATGTGTGAAGTAGAATAATCAAAATATTCCCTAGTGGCCACTCATGTACATCCTTTTTGTCCATGAGACGTGTGCTGAAAATGGCCCGGCCATCAGTATTATCAGCGTCAGTAGTGTCTCCGTTAGAATGTCACAGATGGGTTTTCAACTTCTCTATCCAAACGCCGATTTCTGCAAATCTAATTTGGAGGCCTTTGAAGAAAAGGACCAAGTGGAATTCGGATGCTCTCGTCCCAGGATAATTTCCACACTTTCCTTAATTCATTTTCTAACCACTTTGCTAAATGCCACCCATCGTAATAATGTCGAATGCCGGCTAACTCGGACTCCATTTTTCGCAGCGCTGCTCCAAGCGCTCCACTCAGTCGCTAGTAATCGAACCGACTCAAAGCAGTAGGGGTCCACGCACCCCATCAGTCGCCGCTGTCCGTCAACTTCTATGCAATTGCAGAGGCCCCCTGAAAATCTTATGGCATTAAAAATTCTTCTTTATAATCTATCCCATGGAACAACGTATCCGTCTCTGAGCGGTGTAGCATGTAGATATGGAACACAGTTTAGTCCGCGTCTTCGACAATATAACCTTTTCGATCAAAAGCGAGTACCCTCGGCTGAAATATGCTCCGCCTGCCGCCATGTGCAGTCCCTCGCATTTCTACAATCCAAGCCACTTATTGTCATATAAACTCTTAATCCTTTTATTTTACCTTGTAGGCGCTTTTCACTAGGTCCAGGAAAAGGCTTTGCTGTCAGAGATATACCTTTTCTATGGCCGGTTTCGTCAAATGAAAACAACCGAAACGATGTCTTCAAAAACATCGCCAATTTCGTCTGCTCCGCCCATCTAGTCAGTTCATGAACATTCATGAACATTCGTTCATGAACAGCGCCTATCGGTTTTTTCAGACGTTGAATGTAACTATTGAAAGAGTATCGTAATCCATTGGTGATGATCGATAATGTCGCCTCCACGTTCCCTTTATACATACGCTCACGCGTGAGGGGAACGGTTCGGTCTAGTTTTCCCACCATTTCGCTATAGGCGCATTACGTTTCCTGCAGATGAAACAGACGATAGCAGCCGTGCCAACGGCCTTCCGTCGAGCGCGCGGTAGTTTGTGACCGCGTCGAGGGGGGAACTAGAAGAGCTGTGGGAGCCTACTACATTGGTCGAGAAAGTATTGACCCAACATAGTGCATCAGTCTCACCCAGGGAGGATGTAGTAAAATAATTGTCGGTGTGCAGCAAAATAATTTTGAGTGTGCCACGCGGTATCCTCCTGACGCAAAGAAAAAACAGCACACAATTCGCATAGTTTTATCCAGCCTCAAACTTGGGTAATTAAGCCCTCTTTTGAACATTAACACAAAAAAAAAGAACGACGAGTAAGATGTCCACAACACAACAACATGAATCGCTGGTCACGATTAAAATTATAGAAGCAACGAATAAAAAAAACAAAACATCAGAAACCCCCTCCCTCTTTGGCGTTGGACGAAATTCTGGGGCTCGCTTCCTTTTTAGGCCATTCCTACTTCTTTCCGCGCTCGAGAATATCTCTTCTGCACAGGGCCTCCACTTATGCCTTTTAGATTTCTCCACTGTTCGACTCGATAGTCGTGTTTTTTCTCAATGATCTGTTTTCAAGAAATTCTTCATTCTAATTCTTCAATTTTGATCGCATATCCGCGACGTAGACCTTGGGCCAGGTACCGACTCGTCTTCGGGAATGTATTCACTTGAGCTCTGAAATTATGTACATACATACATTGTTTTTAACATTTTTTCCCTAGTAACAATAGATTTTACCTCTCCAGAGTTACAGGCCATTCTCCAATCTTCGCCGTTACCGCTTCTTGATAATATTCGCCCAGTCTTCCGAGCTTCGTGGAGACTGAAATTCCTACTTCTGCCTACTTCGGTTCAGTTCTTGTATTATGCCTCGCGTGAACGCCACGTTGGCATGAGGTGTGGACGAGCTTGGATCGTTGGAAATTCGAAGTGTTATTCCAAGCATCGCTATCTTGGCAAGAAGGAATTGGGCCTGTTCATTTTTTGTTACTATTATACGTATCTGTGTATTCCTTTCCGAACTCACCTCCTGCACCACATCTGCACCACATGCTTATGGCATACATATTAACGCCACCTTGAGGCGGACTCGAAAAGCCTATGTGCGCGTTTCACGTCCGTGTGACCTGCTTGCTAATGCCAGAAGCGTCAGCAAAAACACATTTTGCCGAAGTTGAAGCGACGTTCTTTTCGTGGTAACGTCACGGATCAACTTTCCGCAAATTGCGTAGTTCACCATATCATAGTGTATGCTAAACATAAATATGAATGTATATGAACATGAAGATGTGTTCAGCCTCTTGGATAGTGTCGTTTTCAGAATTTCTCTTGTAGACCGTTTATTTGCTCTTCTGTGAACTACTCTAGATTTGATGGTGGAACACCACGGCTTCTATTTGTACATTCCTCGACAACGCATATAAGTACTACTGAAGGCCTGAGTAGCATGAGTTGGCTGAGTATCTAAGCCTTTGGTTGTCTGACAATTAATCTTTGATGAACGATTATCTTTAAGTTTAAGAGCAACCGATCAAGACTTCTGTAATAATCACAGCCGTAAGCATATACACATGTACGTTGCATTAATCTTAATTACAATACTGAACATCATTCATAACAACACAATCCTACTTATATAATTGGTTAAGTGTGTCTGTTGGTGTGTTTGTGTGTTTGTGTGTTTGTGTGTGTATGTGTGTGTGTCTGACCGGAAATCCTACTCATATAATTGGCTAAGTGTGTATGTTGGTGTGTT